CCCGTATTAGGAGTATTAGGATCACATAGTTTCTTTTCTAAAAACAATGTAACAAATCTCAGTGTATTTGCTGGTAGGCCTGTGATAAGATTTAGCTGTAAGCCTACAAAAGGTTTCAGCCTGCTGAGAGCTGTTAAGGTATGGTGGGGCCTTTAGGAAGTGGGGTGCACTAGATAAACCTTGTCACAGGAGCGTATACCCATGGACGATATATTGGCACTGGAGACCCCGTTGTCTCTTTCCCTCTGCATCCCGGCCGCGGAGAGGTGACGAGGTTTCCTCTCGATGTGTTGTGCTGTCAGTGACCCAAACAGATGAGGTCCAGAAACCGTGCAACAAAGTCTAGAAAATCATGAGCCAAAAGAAACCAGTCTTCCATTTGTTTTCCTTGGGTGGTTTATCATGATGAAGGGAAGCAGACACAACTGGGGAACACCTTATAGGAACACAGAGAGAGGTTGGTATGGCGGCACACGCCAGCAATCCCAGAACTCAGGAGAACCACAGGTTTGAGATCAGCCTGGGCTACATAGTGAGCGTCAGACCAGCCTGAATCATAGAAGGAGGATATCCTGTCTTTAAAAACCAAAACAACATGCATGCTGAATCCTATACATTAAACATAGTATAGATAGTATTCATATATACAAAAAATCCAGTTACTGAATACTAAAATCCCCTGATGCTCAAGGTCCTTCTATAAAAGGGTAGAGTATTTGCATATAACCTCCACACATACGCCTGTGTATTTTAAATCATCTCTTGCTTATTCATAATACTTAATATGATGTAAATGCTGTGTAAACACTTGTCACACTCTACTGCTTAGAGAATAACTAAGGAAAAATGTTTGTGCATATTGAGGACACACTGCTCTGGGTATATGAGTGCCTCTCTGCCCTGTGGTTCACTGAACCCACAGCTGAAGAATTCATGTTGAAAACCAATGGCACGGAGGTCTTTCTAGAAATCCTAGCACTTTTATTTTCTTGAAGTCCACTAGATATCATCTAAAGTAACATTTTCTTTCATTTAGCCAACTTCGCAGAAGCTGGTATAATGTATAAACACGCCTGGAGAAGGAGGAATCTTATTTAAAACTTTATTTATCATGTTTTATTGAAAAAGATTATGTAATGTACCCACATGTACACGTGCACACACACACACATACACACACACACACACACATATGGTCAGTATGTCTTCCTCCTGAGTGCTGTGGTTACAGTGGGTTGCAATGCCCACTTGGCACTTAAGTGTGTGCTGTGGATCTAAACTCCCATCCCAAAGCTTGTGGACCAGACGTTTTACCCACTGAGTCATCTCTCCAGCCCTAAATCTCATAAATTATTTGAAAAGCAATGTGTATGTTTCTACAGATGATAGGAAATTCTCTGTAGGATTGGTCTCAAAGAGATTCCATCTTCTCAAAGTGGTTATGAGGCACGCATGTGCAGAAAAAACGACCGAACAACGGAACTGGTCTAAAGCAAGCACCCCTCCAACGGTGAGAACCTGTCCTTCAGAAAAACAAAGGTGGCATGAATCCCTAGCACGGGGAGTTCAGTGGCCTCACCTTTGGATGGCTGGGTGCAGAGAGGACTCTTTCTGGGTTGTACTGGTTTTAGTCTTTGCCAAATGGGGCTGCTTTGTCTTTCCAAGTAGTGAAACCCAACTTGGATGTAATGTAGGCAAAGAATATTTGCCAAAAAGCCAAAAAGAGATAACCCCCAGGGTAAGACATGACCACTCTGATCAATCCTTCACCATTGTAAACAACAAGGAGAATTGGTTAAGAATGGGAACGGTTCCAGACGGGCACTGAACCATTATGTCTCCATTGAGACCTCTGGAGAGTGTCTCGACTACTTCTGAGAAGGGCAGTAACCACCACTAAAAGCTGTGGACTTTCTACCCATTCAAATAAGCATTCTTGGTAAAGAAAATTCAGTAGAATTCAAATGAGCCACCAGTCAGCAAAAAACTGCTGCTGACATTATTAATCTTCCAAATTACTCAGATCCATCATATACATAAAACTCATCATCGGGCACTTGTGGAATAGGTATCCTTCACTTAAGAAATGGTCCCTGTCAGCAAAGTTTGCAGTACAGAGACTTTCTATCAAATCAATCTTATTTTCCCATTGATTTCCATTACAGAATCTGAGATGCAGTCCGCTGTTAACTACCATTAACGGCCTACGGAACCCATTGGAAATGGCACACGTAAAAGAAAAATGATAATATCCCAATAAAAATGACATTGATATTTAATATATTAATAATGACATTGTGTTGTATTCAACATGTCACAACAAAAAACCATTCAGGCTAAAATATAATATAACTGCCTCACATTCACAAAGGGAAACATTCCCTAAAACATGGGCCTTAATTTATCACTACCTTTACCACTGTCTGGCGTTTCTATCCTTCTACAGTAAAAGTCACTTTTTATCATTTAGAAAAATCTTCTCATTTCCTGCTGGTTTCTTTCTTTAAATCTTTGTTCAGGATCCCTTTAAGGGTCTCTGAAACTGCCCCTAGATGAGGGAAATCAGCCTATCAGGTTTAGTCACAGTGGGTTAACCCTGTGCTCCAGGGATTGAGGGAACTGGGCGCCTCCTGGAAGGGGCTACAGAAGTTAGCGTTAGTAAAGCATAGGGTAGATGCTTCCGGTGCCTTGTCTACATCCTAGGACAGAGTCTAGGAACTGCCCAACAACTGTCCGACACTGGTGACACATGTGTTCACCGTATTATTTTCGGCCTATACCTTAGCACCGTATGTTGTGTGTTTTACTGAATGTAAGTTGAATGACTAAATTTCAATGACTTTGCTCATTCTTCACTGCTGCTTCTCGGGTCTAGTTTTTCAAACTAGACAAGGGATTGATGATATTGACTTCTATAGGAATCATGTCATGATGGTGGAAGTAAACATCAGCCTAGACATAGAGCCTGGGCTGGATACTCTTGACAATGGGCTTTTGCTGAATTTTTCAGTTCCTTACCTTTTCATCATGCTCCATGCAGTTTTGTTAAGCAACAGGTCACTCAAGTTAGAGGGAAAGGCAACCCGGCTCCCTGGCCCGTGTCTGCTACCAGTAATGCACCGAGTCATCTTTTTGCCCAGTTTGGATGACCTAGTAGAATGCAAGCCTCAGAATTCTGTATTGGCCTTCACATTTTACGTTGAAATAAATATTCTATTAAACTGTTACCCACAGAATTCTGAAATGTTAAAAACTGAAAAATTGGGGTGCAGCTTGAAGTAAAATCAGTAGACTAAATAATTTTACTTTGTTAAGAGTCCTTGGTTAATTCAACCAAGACTTATTATTATTGTTGTTGTTATTATTATTATTATTTTGGCCGATCATGTTCAGAGTTCTCAACGTGTCAGTGTCTCAAGACTGAACCCATATAGAGAGTGAGGTCCATGCTAACTCAACTCAGAAGGAATAAACAGAATCTTATTTATAAACTTTTTTTTATTGGCATTAGCAATCATGTTGGTCTCAGTGACCATGTTCCTTTAGGAGGTACATCTTTTCCCTGCAGGCTGAGCAGGAGGGATGCCAAAGTATGAGTGGAAGGTGAGCATAGGACGACAACTAAGACAGGTATTTAAGCTTTAGAAATAGTATTCTGTAGATGTGTGATGGTCTGGACAAGGCGTTTCTGAGGCTGTGCTGGAAGAAGCATGCCACTGGGGCTGCGTTCCCGGAGTTCATGGCCTCGCCTTCTTTCCAGCTCACTCTCTGTCTTGCGCTTACAGTTCAAGATGTGAGCCCCTGATTTCTGCTCCTGCGGCCAAGCTGTCTTTGCCACCATGGATGCCAGCTCTCTGGAACTGTAAGCCAAAAGTAAACTCTTTAAGTTTTCCTGGTCACGGCGCTTTGTCATGAGAGTATAGTGACTAAGGCAAGAGGCCAGATAAAGCTGACTTTTCTCGACTTGGAATCACAGGACAACTTTCTCCCTCTTCTCTTCCATCTCAGCCTTCAACATTTACACCTTGTCCTGTCAGTTTTTAATCCAACTCCTGTCAGACACTCTTGTTTACACACAGACCACTTCCTCACCTCTCACTTTATTCAACTAAGAGTCTGAAGGGACGGAAGTCATGGATACTTGAAAGTATTTTTAAATTTTTTATTACAATTATTAATGCATAACTAATTGGACACATTAATGAGTTTCATTATGAAATATCCATGCATGGAAAGTATTTATTCGTGGTAAGACCATTTGTATTCAAATGCTCCTCCCTAATACTCCCCTTCCCCATGAGGACAAAGACAATATAATGCAAATACATTCAATTCTGTTGCAAAGTAAAACTGCAGGTCTGGCAAGAGGTATAAGCCAGTGAAAGTGAGGTCAGGAAAACCAGTGGTAAATGAGGGGTGCAGAGTTAAACTCAAAATGCAGGTAAAATCAACAGGCAAGATGACTAGTAAGAAAAGAATACTTCAAATACAAAAGAACTGTGATCTTCCAAGATGTGTATGAAGTCTCACGTTTTTACAAAATGGCCCATTCTTTGATTATGCTGCAAAAGTCTAATATTAGACAAAGTGACTTAGGATTTGAGTAATTCCTCCCTCCCATTGGAAGGTTTTACATCCTTCTGATATATAAAGATAGCAAAAGATGACTTGGGAGAGAAAGCAAATCAGATTTATTGAATTAAGCAAAGTTATGTGTGAGATGAGGAAGGCTGTGTCTTAGTGCTTCAGCTTGCTGAAGACGTGGCAGTTGCTGAAGACGTGGCAGGTTGCTGAAGACATGGCAGGTTGCTGAAGAAGACGTGGCAGTTTGCTGAAGACATGGCAGGTTGCTGAAGAAGACGTGGCAGTTTGCTGAAGACGTGGCAGTTGCTGAAGATGTGGCAGTTTGCTGAAGAAGACGTGGCAGTTTGCTGAAGACAGAAGACATGGCAGTTTGCTGAAGACGTGGCAGTTTGCTGAAGAAGACATGGCAGTTTGCTGAAGACGTGGCAGTTTGATGAAGACGTGGCAGTTTGCTGAAGACGTGGCAGTTTGATGAAGACGTGGCAGTTGCTGAAGACGTGGCAGGTTGCTGAAGACGTGGCAGTTGTGGGGAGTCTGAGGGGACAAAGGGCATACAAAGGAGAGCGACAGACTGAGGAAGTAAGCAAGGCTGTTGCTCAAAGGCCGCTGCCAGTGTGGGGAGGGACACTTTCAACAGGAGGATCTTAGGGGAGACAGTGGGAAGTCACAGGGTGGCACTTACTTGCTATGGGTCATTTTGGAGGAAAAGAATCCAATTTTCGCCACAACTTCAGGGGAGTATGGAGAGGCCAGGGTAAACCAGAAAGATCTTGCTTCATTTTCAACTCAAACTTAGTCAGCACAGCACAACATCTTACTTTGAGAGTTTGTTGAGACCCCAGACAGGTGCTTCGTATTTTGTAGACAAAATCAAGGGAATAAAATTGATGTGTTATTAATTAATTCTATAATTAGAACAAAAAGCCCCAAATACCACATAGAAGAGTTATCTTTTAAAAATTGTTTTTGTTGAGCTCTACATTTTTCTCTGCTCCTCTCCCTGCCCCTCCCCTACTACTCTCTACTCAGGAGATCTTATCTTTTTATCCTTCCTGTGCAGATGTGTGCACGACTCTCATAGGATCCTCTTTGTTGTTTAGGTTCTCTGGGGTTGTGGACTGTAGGCTGGTTTCTCTTTGCTTTATGCCTAAAAGCCACTCATGAGTGAATGCTGGTGGGAGAGCAAACTGGTACAGCTGCTTTGGAAATGGCAGTTTCTCAGAAAATTGAGAAACAACCTTCCTCAAGACCAAGAAATACTATTTTGGGGTACATACACAAAGGATGCTTAATTGTACCACAAGGACAATGTTCAACTATGTTCATAGAAGCCTTATTCATAATAGCCAGAATCCAGAAACAACCTAGATACCCCTCAACTGATGAATGGATAAAGAAAATGTGGTACCTTTACACAATGGAGGAGTACATAGCAATAAAAAAAATAATGACATCTTGAAATTTGCAGGCTAATGGATGGATCTAGAAAAATGCTGCAGCCAGCGCAGCCTGGATAGCCAAGACTGGCAGAGGGGGTGCCAGGATTGAGACTCGGAGGCTTCATTTCAGGTGGAAGAACAGCAACCTTTATTTTGCCCAGCAACCTTTTATACCTCTACTGCTTCTGTGGAGATCCACGGGCCAGAAAGAACACAAACATCCTTGTCAATTAAAGACCACAAGGAAGTTCCCCTGTCAGTCAGGGGGAGTGAGGGCAGCTGGATCACAACAACTCTCCCCATTTTATTTTATAATACCTTGCCTGTCATGGGGAATAGCCCTCTAATATTCCCTGTCTTAGGTAGCATCCTGTCCCCAAAGTATTCAGGGGGAGTGAGGGCAGCTGGATCACAACAGAAAAATCCATATTGAGTGAGGTAACCCAGACCCAGAAACACACATATAATATGTAATCACTCATAGAATAGGTATCTTAAGACTTAAGGTTTTTTCTTTCTTTCTTTTTTTTTTTTGAGAGTTCCATATATATAAGTACAACGTGTTTTAATTAAGTGTACCTATACCCTTTCCTCCCTCCTACAATGATGTAGGAGGATCATCTGTCTATTTGTTACTTTCATTGGTTAATAAAGAAACTGCCTTGGCCTTTTGATAGGCCAGTCCTTAGGTGGGTGGAGTAGACAGAACAGAATTCTGGGAGGAAGAAAGCAGAATCAGGCAGACACCATGCTTCTCTTACCCAAGACAGACGCTGGCTAGAAACCTCCTGGTAAGCCACCACTTCATGGTGCTACAAAGATTATTATAAATGAGTTAGTTAAGATGTGAGAGTTATCCAAGAAGAGACTAGATAAAATGGGCCAGGCAGTGTTTAAATGAATACAGTTTGTGTGTTGTTCTTTCGGGTGTTAAGCTGGCCGTGTGGAAGCAGGGCGGGACGAAAAGCAGGCCTGAACCCCTCATCACGACACTACAATTTCTCTCCTATTTCCCTACCACCGTTCCTTCCTCATTTCATCTTGGTTTTAAAATCCACTGCTACCTACATTTAGCATTGAGTTTTAGTTTTAAATAAAATTCCAAACAAACCCTTAATTTAAAAAAAAATTGCTCTAAAATTCGGTCTCTGTTTTAAGTAGCTGTCCCCTGAGGAAGCCCTACTAGTCCTAAGCATAGGAGGATAAGGTATCCATATATTAATAAAGCTGAACTTACCCAGTGGTGATGCCTGCCTTAGTTATGTCTGTGAGTGACGTGTCTGTATCGGCTACTTTCAGGCCATCATGGTCCAGAACTCAAGAACAACTTAACGGAGCAAAGGCTTGTTTGGGCTTATGGTTTTGAAGAGCTGAAATTCATCCCTGCAGGGAAGGCAAAAGGAGGGCTCTGTGTGTGGCAACAGGATCATGAAGAGAGTGGTCACATCTAGTGGACCATGAAGTAAACAGAGAAGGACAAGGCCCAGGCAGGTACATCTTTAAAGATCCTATTACTTGCTGCCTACTTTGGAAAACCAGGCTTCAACTTCTAAAGGCTCCACAACCTTCAGAAGAACAAGCACCACCAACATGGCAATCAAATATTCAAAACACAAACCAATGGAGGGACATTCAGATCCAAACCGTGCTTTATATACATACTCAATTACAATGCTTTTAAGATTTATTTCATGTGTGTGAGTATATGTATGTATGAACACCGTTTGTGTGCCTGGTGCCTGCAGAGGTCAGAAAAAGGTATCAGATCTCCTGGAAATGGAGTTATAGATCAATTTGAGCCATGATGTGGGTGCTGGAAATCAAACCTGGGTTCTCTGCAAGAGCAGCAAGCACTCTCAACCACTGAGCCATCTCTCAAACTTCTTATATTAAATTACTATTAATAAAATAGTCTCATTTCTGAATTCATGAGGTTAATATTATTTATTCTTGGGTAGTCCCTGTAGTATCACTTCCAAAGTATTTTATTTATTTGATTATTTAAGGCAGAGTTTCACTGTGTAGCCCTGCACTGTCTGAACACACAGATATCTGGCTACCTCTACCTCCCAAAAGTTGAAATTAAAGGTATGTACCACCACCTCTGGCCATTATTATTGAAGATGTTATCATCAGTGTTTCTCAAGACAATGTTTACCTAGGAGACAGATTTTGGAGTCAACCTGGAGGGATAGCTATGTCTGAATTTGCTTCTGGTACTTAACAGACATGGAAGAATGGGAAAAATACATGCATTCTCTGAGCTTCAGTTCCTCAAACAGACCAACACACCACAGCAGTAAAGACCTGATGTGAACAACTGGCAGACACCGGATACTGCGAAGGCATTCAATGCGTGAGTCAGAAAACTGCAGGCTACTTTTGTTCCCCTGATCTTAATTTGTTGATTATTTCATACACTGACATACTTAACATGTATTTTTGCAATGTGAAACTAGGATTTCTAGGCTATTAAAAAAATTCGGAACAAAATCCTAATACACAAGACAGCCCACTCTGAGTTGCTGGTCAGCGGAGTCCAAGAGACTCCCAAAACAATATAAGTCATTTCTGTTGACCTTGCTTGCCTCCCAGAGGTTTACGGTAGGTCCCCTATTGTTGAAGACATTCACTTCCGAGGCTGGATCCAAAGGACCCGAGCTAGATCTGATCTGAAAGACTCCTTCCGGAGGGCTAGTTTTCATGGCACCGGAAGGCACCATGCAAGTGTCCGAGAACCACAGCCGCCACCACCACGGCATGGCAACCCCAGTGGCACTCACCTTGGTGGTAACCAACAGCTCTCTAATTTGAGGCCCCTCATCAGGAGGGAACTCATGCCTGGTAATGGAAACCAAGTCAAGTACCCAGGGTTAGTGAGGTCAGGGATCTTGGAGGAAAACCTCCTGCTGCCTATCCTTACACCCACAGGTGAGTGCAGCTCTCACCCACCATCAAAGGAGTGTCCTTTGCAACAGACAGATACCATAACAGAAAACCACAGCTTGGCAGAATTCAGAGAACCAAGAATCTCCAGATGCCCAGCCTCAGTTGCTCCATCTACAACACAGCTCCTGCGCCTAAGGCTCCGGAAACACCAAGGAAGAGGAGGCAGAAGACTGTAGGAGCTGAAGGACCAGGAAATCTGCTTTGAGGCTGTGTCTTCTACAAAGGCATGGAGCGTCAACCATGATTCCTCATGCTTTGAACAAGTGCATCTCCAAAAGATATGATGGTCTTGGTTGTTTTTACTGTTTTGCTCCTTTGGGGGCCCGCCCAGCTCCCAAACAAATACACACAGAGACTTGTTATTACTTATGAATGCCCGGTCTTAGCTTGGCTTGTTTCTAGCTAGCTTTTCTTAACTTAAATAATCCCATCTATCTTTTTGCCCCTCGGTTTTTATGTTCTGTCTGTCTGTCTGTTTCTCTCTCTCTCTCTCTTAACGTACATTACTATTTTGCCATGGGTGTCAGGTTTCCTGGACCTGGAATTACAGACAGCGGTGAGCTGTCACATGGGTACTGGGAACTGAGCCATGGTCCCTCTGAAGGAGCAGTCAGCACTATTAACCACTGAGCCATCTCTCCAGTCCATCTTTCTCTATTTCTGTATCGCTTTCTTTACTTCTTTCTCTGTAGTTTGCTGGGTGACTGGCCCTTGGAGTCTTCCTCTACTCCTCTTTCTCACTCCTCGATCCTCTCTTGATTTTTTTTCCCTTTTTTTATTCACCCTCTCTCCCTACCAGACCCACCTATCCTTTCTCCTGCCTTGCTATTGGCCATTCATCTCTTTATTAGACAGGTGTTTTAGCCAGGCAAAGAGACATAACATCACAGAGCTAAACAAACATACCATCTTTGCAGTATTAAACAAATGTTCCAGAACATAAACAAGTGTAACCCATCCTAAAATAATATTCTACAGCATTATGCTAACAGGGAGGGGAGAAAGTGTCACAGGGCCCACCCCTAGGCAAAGAATGCAGGCAACTAAAGAACGCTGAGCTTCCTGTTGGTTAGCCGGTATCAACTGATCAGCCCTAAAATCATATACATACAACAACACTAAATGGACTGAGTACACATACATTTAGACATATGTGTGTGGGGGTATTATACAAAACCACATATATACATATACAAGTATAACAATAACAAAGGAAAGAAGGCCATGAATTTGAGATGGAGGGGGAGAGGACATGGGAGGATTTAGAGGGCGGAAAGGGAAGTAAATTGATTAAATATTCAAATTATATAAATATGATGGATTTTGGAAGCATGCTGTTTGGAGTGCTTTGTTGCCTACATCTCTTAGAATGAATTCTCGATAAAAAAGAACTCAAAATGTTATTTGTAAGATTTACTTTGTAAGACTTCGTAGGCTGGGTGTTTGAAAGTTACAAGGAGAAACCTTCGGAGGCAGTCCTCCAGCCCACTAGAGCAACTGCTAGAAACACATCTTAACCTGAGACCAAGAAACCCAATATTTCGCCAGGCAGAGCCTCATGCAGAAGTCTTGTAAGTCAGGCACTCATGAGCTTGAAGCTCTGCCAAGTCACTTTCTGCCTATCTGATCTCGGTCAATTTATATACTAAACCTGGAGATCTTTGTCTGTTAAATTAGAATAATGAGAATCCCTATTCCGGGGTCGTCCTGAGGGTAAAAGGAGACATTACACACATAGAGCATAATGTGTGAGATTTACAAAATCTTCAAACTCAAAAGTTAAGATATATTTTGTTTAAAAAATGGTAATAAGCTGGGTGTGGTGGAGCACACCTTTAATCCCAGCTCCCAGGAGGCTGAGGCAGGTGGATCTCTGTGTTCAAGGCCAACCTCGTCTACAAGTTCCAGGAAAGCCACAAGCTTCAGAAAAACCCTGTCTCAAATAAACAAAACCAAACAAATAAAAATGGTAATAGAAAAAAATGCAAAAATTTAATTTCCCTGAGCCTTAAATAACAAATTATGCAATCTTGCCTTGATATTTTCTCTTGTATTAAAGTTCTTTTTCTTCTCTTATTACTCATGAATGCATCTTCGGCACTAGGATCTCTCAATGGATTTCTGCCCAAGTCCTACAACCAGGTAGTATTGGGAAAAGAGTGGTGGGCACGAGGTCTTCTAATAAATTAATGCAATGGCTGGGGATCTTGCTTTCTTTTTCAAGACCCTGCTTGGTTCCCTACGGAGCCTATTAACTCAGATGCTCTTTAATTTCCTTGCTTAAAGTCTGGAGACAGTGACAGCTAACATTTAGTGCTTTTAATAGTGACATACTACGCTAGGTGGATTGCAAACGGTATTTTGTCTCTTTTGACAAATAAAGGCAGAGATTGGCATTATTGTGCCCGTGATGGGTAGGCAAAAGCCTCGACTCGACTCCGCCATTTGCTAAGGTGGCAGTGGCAGCGTTTTCTCCAGGAAGATAGCAATTATAAAATTAATTTAGTTAGTTTGATCAACAGAATCTCAGGGACTGAAGGATAAATAAAACGGCGTTTCTTCAATCTTAATAATTTGTTTAATTTCCTCTGAAGGTTAGGGATTTTTTTGTTTTACAGAACAAAGTCAATATTGTTATCAATGAACGGGAAAGATTTGGAATTGGTGAAATTGTGTCTTCCATTGAAGGTAATTTCTTGTCCCTAAGAACTGAATTCTGCAGTCATTCCGAAAGTTGTCCAGCTTTCGGTGTATTTTGGAGAAACTTGTACCACACTAGCCATTTAAGGTCAAGCAACTGGGCAACTCTTAACCACGTGCACCGCGCAGGTTCCATCTCCGAGTTTGCAGAATCTCGGCATCTCTAAAGCCCTGCACCATCCCAGCTGTTTGCACGACTCCAGGAAGCTCCTGGATAAGCCTCTGTAAGGCACACTAGCTAGCTGCCCCCTCCCGTCTGCATCCTAATTCTACCCAGGCACACTCAAAGATGCTGGGCACCAGGGCCTCAGTCTGGTCTCCAGTTCGGGCCAGAGAAACCAGAGGGCGGTAGGCGATCGGCGGCGCGCACGGAGACGCGCGGGCCGGGGCGGGGACAGCGTGCGGCGTCGGGCGCAGGCTGCGTCTGTGTGCAGCTCGCCTTTGTTCTCGGCCATTGTGAGGCACTTCCTCCTCTGGCTCTTCATTTCTGCACCGCACGGGGAATTCGGAAGGGGCTTTTGGGGTTTACTTTTGGGTATGTGACGCTGTCCTGTGCTTGGCCTCTCCCTCGCTGCCCTCCTTCCCATGCTTGTTGGGGAGGCTGAGTGCAAAGAGCCACTTGACCCCCCCCCCCCACCCCCCGACGGCTGCGCCACTCAACCGGCTGCACCCGCAGGAGGCATCCCAACCCAGCACCAGGGATCGCACCTCCCGATCGGCCACCGCGGCGGGCGGCGACCCGCTCCCTCGCGGGATCCGCACAGGGTCCGGGCACCAGCGGCCCGGGAGAGCCCCGCAGCGAGGGTCAGAGGCCAGCGCGCAGCCCAAGCCCGGTCGCCCCGGCTCCCGGGAGCCAGCACTACTGTCGCAGCGGCCCTCCCCAGCGCGATCGAGCTCCCCGGCCGCAAGGCGGCCGCCTCAGCCCCCTTATATAGCCCTCTAAAAATAGCTTGCCTCGCACCGCCTTGTAAGGCAGCAGGGAGATCCGCAGCGCACCAATCGGAGGCCGCCGTCGGGGCCAGGCCCCGCCTCAGGGCCTACTCCGAGAGCCGCATTGGTCCTCAGTGACTTCATGAGCCCCCTGTTTACCTTACATGGTCACACGCGGCCTAATGGACGCCCTCCTCCGAGATCCCACGGCTGCGCGCAGAGCCCGGCGGAGGGAGGGAGTTTGGGGAGGGGGAAGAGCAGGAGGAGGAGACAAGGGGGGGGGGGGACTACAAACTAGCGAGGATGGGGTGGGGGGTGGGGAGGGAAGGGAAGGGGTGGGGGGGAGAGAAGCGATCGCGAGAAAAAAAAAATGCAACCTCCCAAAATAAAGAGCAAAGATTGCATTAGGAGCGAACAGCGCTGCAGATATAGATGGCAGCTTCGTGTCAGTGAGTTTGCGTCCCCTTTCCTGATCCACGAACTGGAGTGATTAGAGCCCTGGAAGGGAATCGTTGCTCCCGTGAAGTCCCCTTTTCCTGGCAGTCATCTGCACTGTACACGCTGGATCCCTCGCTCCATCCACCCCACTCACTCGCTCCTCTCTCACCTCCTCTCTCCCTCTCTCCTGCATTGATTTTTTTCTCTCTCCTTTTTTTAGTTGACTGAAACAAAACAAAACAAAAGGGCCACTGGATGTCTGCCTTCTTGGGGGGTGAGCCAGACAGACTGACAAACAAACAGACCCAGCTGAGCTCGGGGGAGGGTTTCTCCTCCGGTTTTGCCCGGCAGCAGCATGGACGTGTTGGCTAGTTATAGTATATTCCAGGAGCTACAACTTGTCCACGACACCGGCTACTTCTCAGCTTTGCCATCCCTGGAGGAGACCTGGCAGCAG